AGGGTTTGAGGGAGAGAGTTTAAATTTTTTTTAAAAAAAGGTTTTTTCATTAGTAGAGATTGTTTTGGTGCCCAAATATCTTTAAATTGATCATCTCGACATCAAGATCCATAGACATGAGAAAAAAATGAATTTCAAGTTTTAGAAATAGTGTATTTTGTAAAGCATTTTTGTACCGTTAATTTTTAAGATTTTCAAGTTTGGATAAATTTGTCATCTACACTATTTTTGAAGCTTTAAACTTTATAAATAAATATAAAAATATATTTAAAAACTCTCACAAATATTTTCAATATTAAAACTACATATCTTAGACACTATATGAAGTGTTTAGAGGCTAGGCTCTGTACAAACCGCACTGAGGCTCGGCTCGGCTCTATACAAACGGCACCGGAAAGTGCGGGAGAGAGAATGTGGTGGGTTTTAAAATAGAGGGAGAGAGGGAGGGAAGAGTGCAAATGGAAGGGCATCCAAGAAACCGTGTTTCCGAGGGTTTTAACGGCATCGATGAAACATTTGTAGGGCGATCCTTTGCTTTTTATTCACTCGCAGGTAATACCGGTGTTGTACGTTGCGAAAACCTGTGTGTCAAGACTCTAGTGGATTCTGAATATATAAAAGAAAATGCTTCGATAGGGCTGCAGTTTTATCTAAGTGTCAACTTCATAACTCACCGGAAATTATAATTTAAGGATTGAGAAACCTTTACATCGATCATCTCGGCTTCAACGTTATAATTATGAAAAAAAAAAAAAATTTCAACTCTATAAATAATATATATTGTAACAAATTATCTAGATTGTCTATTTCACTTTAAAAGTAAGTGTTCATAGATCCACAAGATCCGTATATTTTTTGTGTCAAATTTTATTGTCGGTACTAGAAATTAAGTTTAGAGCCATCTGAAAATTTTCATTTATGAAAGTGCTTTCTGGACAAGAATTTGAGATAAAGATTTATTTTGTGTCAAATTTTATTGTCGGTATCGGACCGCTTGGTAGCATCATATTTCTTATTTCATATCGGTCTGGTACAAAATGATAAATAGAAGGCATTTCGATGTTGCAAAATTTGGACCGCCTTACATATACAAAATGATAACAAAAGATGGTTCGATGTTACAGAATTCAGAGCACCATATATGTAGAAATTGATAATAGAAGGCAGTCCGATATTGCAAAAGTCGGACTGCCTTACATGTACAAAATAATAACAAAAAACGGACCAATGTTTAAAACATCGGACTGCTTTTACCAACAGCAAAATACATTGCTGCCCTAGATTTGATTTATTCAAGCTTCAAAGCATTCAAAGTGAAATTAACCACACGGCCAAGTGTGCATGCATTTTGCATAAAAAAAACCCAATAAATAAATTGATATATGATAATAATTGTTATATCAAAACATTTTCCAAACAATTGCCGGTCTTGCCTACTGTCGCAAAAGTGGAAGTGCCTTACATGTACAAAATGATAACAAAACGCGGTCAGATGTTTAGAGTGAGGGAAATCTACCGAGAGATAAATGGGGCAGAGAGAGAGAGAGGGAGAGATTTACAGTTAGGTAGAGGCTTGGCAATGGGGAGAGAGAGGGGAGAGAGTTATAGAAATTAGGAAAAAATTGGGGCTTTTAAGCCCTATCCACTCAATTTAAAAGAAGCCTAAACAATGATTCAATCTTGCAAACATCGACTGAGGATAAAATCATAAAAAATATATGAAACTAATAAGCGGGACCTCCGTATACTTTGGGACCAAACCATAATAACAATTTAAAAAAACGGTATGGACGTAATTTTCCCTACATATTTTATGTGTGGGTTGATTTGCAGTGTAGCCATACCCGAAACTCTATGTTTTGATGGATTGAGGACCAAAGACACTCCTAAACACTTAATAAAGAAGGTGGATATGGAGCTTCTTGAAAGCCTCAAATTTTAATAAAAAACATCGATATAGAGCTCCTTGAAAGCCTCAAATTTGGTCATTCCACCATCTCTTGAAATGGACGGCAAATATCAGAATTTAGAGGAGTTTGAGGTGGAGTAGTTTTTGGGCCAAATCTACTTTTCTTAGAAGTTGAATTGAAGTGTTAGAGAATGATTTGGAGCAATTAGGCTGCACCAAACCGTTTTTCATTATCTTTTGCCAATATAATTAGTTTTGATCATTATGTTTCAAAATTTTAGGAGTAGCTCCTTGGTAATTTTATTAAGAAAATTTTTTTTAGAAATTTTAACCTTCAACTCTTCAAATAAATATGAAGATATTAATGTATTTATGCTAGAATAGGAGCGTTGAAACTAAATCTAAATGATGAAGGATCTATGTTTCAGGCTGTTGGATAAGTGTTTCGCTTTTGGGATTCGCTCTCAGTCCAATATGAAAGCTTCTAGCCAAGCAAGCCTCTACCAATGATGCAAATTAGGAGCATACAAAAAAGTAAAAGAAGCAATTTGAGGAAAGGAAAAGGGTACCATATTAAAAGTAATTAAGTTTTTGGTGCTGCCTATTTTAGTATTTTGTATGTGTTTTTCAAAAGGTGGTTCTTTAGGTTATTTGGACAATATGTAACGCTGTTGATAAGTTTCTTTTAAAAATTTAGTCTAACATTAGTGGGAGCAAGAGCAGATCCCAAATAGTTGGATAAGGCTCAGACGAGATAATGATTAGTGGGAACAAGAACATAGGCTTTGAGAATGAGGTATTTTCATGGACTTTTAAGAGATGCAGACTTGGAGAATTTTTGTGTGCTTTCAGTTTGTATGCAATAAAATGAACCATTCATTACACATGCGGTGAAGTGAGATAACGTTCGATTATCCCACGTACATTTGGCGCTGCCCTATCTGTCAAATATCTTATCGTTTGTCAGTGCCGGCAAATGCATGTCAACCATTGTGAACTGGGGCCAATGCATGCTTTTTCTTTTGACAAGATTACGAAGCTTTATTTGGCCGGTGCATGGACCGACCGATGTCTGCCGTCCCCTTTTGAATCAACGTATGCATGTCATCGCTCTCTGAACTGATCAATGCATGTCTTCCATCTGCTATTTCCCTCTGCATGAGAGGCTTATAAAAGGAATGTGTTTACTACTCAATTATGAGAAGTTTTAGAAACCAAATTTACTCTCTTCACCCTCTTCAAATCCATCTCTTCTTAGCTATTCTAAGTGAAGGTGCTTCATTTGTTGATTGTATTATGGGGATAACCTTGCCAAGGCCCTGTACATAGTGGAGAAATCCATGTAAGAAGCATTGATTAACACAAAGTTGACAACCTTGTAAATTGCCTCCAATATGGAAAAGCACAATATTTGTGTTGATTGTATAAAAGACAATCTGAAGCTCCACATTTGCCAAATTCACCACCAAAGGATTCGGGGCAATTTTTGAGCTCCGAATCAAACAGTCAACAGGAAATGCAAAAAGGCTAATTTTGGAGGTTTTTTTTAGGTAGCTCATCCAAACAAAGAGGTTGAACATGGTGGAGTCAAATCACGATTTTGGCGTTCGAGCAATGAGGGAAATGTGACGGAGCTGCAATTCATCTCAATCATCTGTGTTGGGCCATCTCCAGTGGAAATCAGTTTCGAGCAAATATCAAGTCTCATATGATCATTAGGATCTGGGATCAGACTTGAAGGGTTAAGGTGCTGAAGATTACAACACTACGCCCCAAGGCAAATCCTACCAATGAACTGCCCATAACAGAGTCAATATTTTCATTTCTCAAGGAAAAGTATAAGATGAGCACACTGCAATTTAACAGTACTTCACTCTCCCAAGCCGTCTAATGTGAAATGTGGTGGCTTCAAGTTCCATTGAAAACTCTTGAGGGACTTCGAATTGAGGAATGATGCACCACCAGCAGTCACATTCCATATCCGATGGTTTGAAAGAGCGTGTTTATGTAGGAAAATTGTAATGCACACATTTTATAGGACCCATTCTAAAATTTTCTATTTTCTTTCATTGGGAGGACAAATTAGTACTAGGAACATGCACAGTTTCTCAGCAAATCCAAAAGTAAATGCAAGTGCTCTAGAACTTATAAACTTAGGTCCCTCGAAATGCAGTATTTAAGTTAAATATTCAACCTCTTTATGAAGTTTTTACAATTATTTTTACAAAATTAGCTTTTTCAATGACTTAGATTAAAGTGCTTATTCACAAGAAAAATTCATGGGTAGCTCAAAAGTAGGATTTGAACTTGGAACGATGGGTTGCAGATTCCAACACCTCGACCAATCAAGCCCAAGCCCATATCCTGAAATCTGATCGATAAAGTACTGGTTGTTGAGAAAATCATTATTCATAAACATATGGACATAATTGCTCTTTTAATCTTAGCTTTCTTTGTCAGAACTAACACTGTGATGAATACAATACATTTATGTAGATCAAGGAATACTGTGAAGAAAACCTTTACCAAGTTCAAGAGCATGTTTAGACAACGGTCGAGTGAAGTTCTCCATTACTGCTGGAGATATCATGAACACGGTTTTAATGGTATTTCCTTATTATAATGAGATTTGCCATTATTTTTTTAGAACTATTTCCTTTCTTTTTTATTCAAATAAAAAATCTATGCGAGCCAAACCATGCACTCAAATGTTTTTCATTTTTGCGGAGTTTGATTGTTGCTGGGGAGTTAACTAAGCTAAAACTGGCATTGTACTAAGGCCATGGGAGTCGATTTATTCACTTATTGCTAAAGTGGATGTTCTACAGGGCTTTCATTGTAAGTCCCTCACAAAACAAGGAGAACAAATTAGAGAGCTATAACCTTTCTTCATGGCTTGCCAATTGTTTCCCATTGTTTCGAAATTTAAACGGTGTTTCAGAAATTGGAACTGCAGTCCAACTCAGCAGGGATCTGGGTCTGGTTCTTTTAGTCCAACTCGGGTGATTCCAGGGTTTTCTGGCCCTGAGTCATCAAATAGTAGATCTAATTTGACTGGGTGATTTCCCAATTTGTAAATTTAGATGAGGCTGACCCTATTCCTCGTATCACAGTGCGTACGCATGGCATCCCTTTCTAACAAACCTGTATTGTTTTTGAAATTTGCAAGAATATGTTGCTTATAGATTAAAGAGAAGCTGAGACAAAAAAATTACATGCCCTTTAGCCGCCACCGCCACCACACCGCAAAGTAGTGGAGCCGAACCCACCCAAGAACCCATCACCCCTAACAGAGCAAGGGAGAAGCCACATATGGCTGGCCGAAAATGACTATGACCAGGACATGGTTTGGGCCACACATGTGCAACAATGGTGTCAATCTAGCGAGAAAAGTCATAGACCCTTTGGTTTTAGCTCATTTGATTGCTTCATCAACCGCCAATTTCCCACTTGGGAAGAGTTGTTGAGCAAAGTCCCACTTGTGAAGACAAGAAGAGGCAGAGTGGTTGAGGGCGAGGTTGTCGGTTATAAACAACCAAGGGTGGACAACATGGCGTTTTGCTACACCCCAAGCCATGTCCTCAGAGGAACGCGATGCCCGTTGAGAGTCAAGTGCCATGCTCTTCGTCTTCATGGTTTCAAGCAAGCTATTGGCTGTGTCTGTGCCTATGAAAAACACCAAAAAATCAGAGAGTTAGTAACTGGTTTCACAGAGCTTTTCAGGTTTCTTTTGACCTGTGAATGAAAAGTTCGTATCAAAATGTGCTTGAATTTTGATAAATTATCAAGGAAACACAGTCAATCATAACAATTTCTATAAAAATTGGGAAAAATTAGGCAATATTTACCAAATTGTGATTACTTCTTATAAGTTCGATCAAACCAGGGTGATTTTATAGCCTATTTGTTGACAATATTGGGAGATATCCTGTGATTTGGGCAGCAAATTCAGTTCCAACTTGTATCGATTTTGTTAGTAATTTATTTTAAGGCATAGTTCTGGTTTCTAGTCCATGGAAGGGAATTTTTAGCTAGGGAAAATGTAGAATATAGTTCACATGGATGGTATTGATCACATAAATAGGACATCCGCTTTTGATTCTGGTAAGTGGATGATGCAGATGAGGTGGTGCTCCGTTTCGGAGTCTGTTTTCACTTTATTTGGGTTAAGTGGAAGGATTAGAACCCGGAATGTCGTGATGCATTGTTAATCAGTGGAAGAAAGCTTTGTCTGCACACTCTAAGTGCTTCAGTGAAATTGGGGCTCATCTCTACTGACGATAACCCCATTTATCTCAATAGGAAACGGTGGATCACCAATGTGCCCATCCTTTGTTATGCATGTGCACAACATGTATAGTGAACTACCGTTTTTATATAAATATCGTTTCCAAACTATAGTAATTTTCATTTCGTATAGTGTACTACCGTTTCCAACCTACAGTATACTATATGCGTGTATGTGTGTGTGAGAGAGACTTAACTCACCAGATAGGTAACCTCCGTGAACATAGCCGTTAAACTTCTCACTTGTGTGCTCACCAGAAAAGAAAATCGGGCCAACTGGTGCCTGGATCACATAAACACTAATTGTAATGATTATCAAAGCAAAAAACAATTATTAGAAAGAAAAGTCTACTTGAGTCTCCGGACTCATGCTTCCACTCGGGTTTTTAATGGATCTAGGACATAAAGTGCATCCCCAAAAAGTTGAATGAAAAAGTGCCAGAAAAAGAATTCAAAAAAAGCTTCTGTAAATCTCAAAACTTATTTGCCAAATTCATGATCACAAGCAGATCCAAATTCAAGATGGATTTTGGAGGGGGAATGCATAGAAGCTAAGGCTGCCAATGGGAACGGGTTGACCCGGGCTTGGTTTCAAGCTGGGTTTAGGTCAGATGATAAGGCCCGTGGGCCAGCCTGATAGGCCCGAAATGTTTTCAGTCGGGCTTGAGTTTTTACCTTTTTTGCGTGGTTCATTAGTAGGAGTGGCACATATTAGCCATCTCAAAGATCTTTATGTTCGTATGGAACCTGTCCTAGGCTCGATATTTTTAGAATGGCCAGGGCTAACACCAAATTACTACAGCTTCATTCGGGCCCAGGCTTCTATTGCACAGTTTTGGTGCCAAGTTGGGCTGGCCTAGCCCGTTGCCAATCCTAATATAAGGAAGCACAATTGGATCCAGAATTATTTAGAGAGTGATAAAAACCTTGATGTCCCGGAAATCACTGGGAGATGAGAGGATGGGATAGTTGCTGTAGCTGCCGCGTTGGAAGCGATTGTTCCACCATCTTGGAACCAATATGGACTCGGCCATTGGAACTTTAGGCCCAAACATTGATCTCAGGACTTCCATTATCTCCATTAACGTTTCTTCATCATTCTGATTCTCTATGCGCTTTGACTCATCGTTGGTCACTGTCACCACCAACATGTTGGACCCTGGGTATGCGTTCTCCATGTGCTGAAATCAAAGATACCCCATAAATCAAGAGATAGAGAGAGTGTTTGCTTGGAGATAACCAAAGCGAAAAAAAAAAAAAAGAAGGAAAGGTAGTGTATATGATGGGGTTGTTTAGCTTCACACTTTTTCTGTAGAGAAAAGTTACAATAATTGTGAGTCATTAGATGTGAAATTGAGCGGTTGTGAGTGTGCCATTTTTTCATGCAAAGTCCCAAATGACTTTTTTTTAGAATTTGGAATGATTGGAATTTGTTGTCAATGTTACACCTTCAGCTGCCCGATTTCACATTTGATGGTACCATATATGGTAAGTGAACATATAACCTTTTCGTACGAAAAGAAAATATGTTTATTGTATATTTTTTCAAAGAAAGAAAAAAGAATGAAAACCTTCATATGCACCAAAGATAGGTCTGACATTTCATAAACTTGGCATCTCCAATTAACTAATCTTTTTGAAATCTCACAGTGAAAGTACTTAATATCATATCTTTTTGAAATCTCGTAGTGAAAGTAATTCATATCATATTATAGATTGGGTAACCAAATCAAATACTGGCTGGACCGATCCCGTTCGCCTATTTGGGCTAATGTAGGAATCGGTCCTAAGAAATTTAAAAATTATTCTTAAAAATAAAAATCAAAATCAAAAAATTAAATAGGTAAGACTGTGATTCGGCAGATCCGCATCACCTGGTTCCTTATAGACGTGTCTAGTCTTCTTCCATAACATACAACTGCCTATAATATGGACAAATTCTCAGTTTCCACAAGGAAACTAGGTCAGTCCCTAACGATTCCCCCCCCCCCCTCCCCACCCCATCTCTATTTTTTTTGAAATTCCAGTATCATCTAAAATGATACCTTCCCCCTTCTCAAAACGTTCTTTTACCAAAGGTGGGTAGCATAGTTTGGAAAGCACTAAAAGGAGCTATCATGTGGGAAGTACAGAAAGAACATAATAGAAGAACTTTTGAAAGGTATGTTTTATCGTTTGACATAATTCTAAATAACATCAATCACACACTTTCAAGTGTTGAGCGTCATCAAGGAAGGGAGGGGAGTTTTTCAAGTAGACGACATACTTAATCATCACAACTTGTTCCACCTTCGTATCAAACGTAGGCCTCTAGGCAAATGGACACCCCTTATACATGGTTGCTTTAAACTCAAATTTGATGGAGGTTATTATAATAACCCAGATGAAGCTGGAATAGGAGGTGTGGTTAAAGATTGGAATGGGTGTCTAATTTTTTTTTTTTTGCCGGACTTTCATATCTGGCTACTGCTAACCATGCTGAGCTAGCTTTTTTTCAAGGTTTAAAACTCTTCAAATCAAAAAAATTTAGGGGTTTTCGCTCCGTGGATAAACATAATCAAATGGTGTAATAAAGAGCAACAAGTTCTTGAGGCTCTCATATACAAGTAGTACGAAATTCTTGATTTAACTCGCGGGCTTACTAGGTCTTTTCACCATGTATATAGAAAAGCTAATTCCTTAGCTGATTTCCTTGCAAAACAGGGGTGTTACTTTACCTACTTTGCTGATTTCCGATGATGCAACTCCCCTGTCATTTTTTCCAGCAATAAAATTGTTAAATTTTATCCAAAAAATAAAAAAAAGGGTGTGCACGTATCTTTCAATTTCACCTCAAAGGCCAGCACAAGATATCAAGGATATTTTTGTCATATCCATCACTCGAGCACGGTATCGATATTAAATCGATGAAGATGGGCAAATTCGGTTTTAAGGCAAACAGGCTGTTTCCACAGTGGAAGCCTTTAAATATTAAATAATTGGACGGCCAATGGGAAGTCGAAACGTCAGAAAGAGAAGTTATATAATGACAAGTGCTTCGTAGTTTTATTTCATTACTGATGACGTTAGAATTCGAACACAAATATTAATATTTGACTTTGTTTATTATGCAATAATTGGGAGCCACCAAAAAAATATATAAAATAAGTGGAATGACAACTTTGAAGGGACAGTTTATTAAAACCAAAGAATATTACACCAAAGCCCACCAAATATACGCACAATGATATCAACAATGATTATCGAAACTTGCATTTTTTTTATTATTTATTTTTATGTTATTTATGCAAACATTGAATATTCTACAACCCCAAATAAAGTTCACTAAATTGAGCATTCAATGCAACGTGAGAGAATGAGAGGTCATTTTGCGTAATGTAGAAAATATGATATGCCCCCGCGGGATAATGTGTGCCATTCAGTGTTTTACAAGGGTGTTTTGAAACCAATCTTGTAAAACCTGGAGATTTCGGATCTGAATTATTGAGTTGGATGGAAATTGGTTGGGACCGAACCAATTTCCGGATGGTAGGGGTCGTGGACCGACTCTCCCCTAAAACCCCACCTTTCTTTGTATGATAATCTCATGTTCCTTAGATTCTCTCTAAATCCCCACTTCATACACCTTATTTTAATTAAATATTTTTTGGATTACTGATTCGGACTGCTCTAGACTGGATTGGATCGCTAATATAACAATTCAACATGTATATGAGAGTGAACAGTCTGCCTCACTGACTGGGATTTAAAACACCATTTAGAACTACTTATAGGGCTATAATTTCCTCGGAGTGTTTTTTTTTTTTTTGCCTTTTGGGTATCCACTTTTAAGTGTACTAGAACTCAAAATTGAAGATTACTTTTTTTAGGACAAATACTGTTACCTGATTTTCAAACCAAAAAAAAAAAATCTAATAAGTAGCTCTTTCACCAAAAAAATCAAATATCCAGCGTGCTCCCACGGGATCAAGCTAAAAGTGCCCCTTCATATTTTTTCACTTTGGTAGTTTTTAATCTTTTCAGCCTGACGGGAAAAGGGTTTTATGAGTGAATGTTAGGGAATCAATAAAATATTTGTTGCCACTTCTAATAATCTCCAAACTTGTATTTGTAGCACTAGAAATCATAGGTTGCCATTATGTCAATGAACAAAAAATGGAAGATAGAGACCACCAATTATAATAAAAGAAAGATACTTTTTCTAATTTTAAATAACACTGTCACAATATCATACGACTAAAAGAAAGGTGCAGTTGGCATACGGATGCCTAGTAAGTGCAGAGGTAAGGTGCACCTTCAAATTTTATCATGGTATATAATGTTGATGTAAAATGTTATTAAGATTATCTCAAAATCTATTTTTATATCTGATTATAAAATTTTAAAAATGAT